TAGTCTTATTCAAGGTAAAAAGTTAGTAGTTATGAATGAGACCAGTATGTCTAGTGGGGAATAGCATAAATTCAATAAACATCTCAAATCCTTTATAACAGAACCAAAAGTATCTATAGAATGTAAAGATCTTGAACCTATTCATTTAAAAGATTACTCTGTATTTATGGTTACAAGCAACCAGGATGCCCCACTTAAAATAGATGCAAGAGATGCTCGTATAGTTTGTTTTGATATATCTGCACGCTGTAGAGGGAATATACCATATTTCAAATATTTGGCTAAAATACTAGAATATCCAGATGCGCCAGGGATAGTTATGTTATATCTTCTTAATCGTGATCTTTCAAATTGGGATCCACAAGATATTTCCAGTACTAAAATGAAAACAGATACAATACTGGAACATCTTCCCAATTCTACTCGATTTATAATTGATCATATTTCATCTTGGGCCAGGGATCAGGTTGAAATACGAAGTCGTGCTACTTTATATCAAGAGTATCGGTCATGGTGTGAAGCTAATAGGGAGAAACCATTTAGTAACAATATATTAGGTAAAAAATTCACACAGATCAATATCGAACACAAACAGGTGAGAAGCAAAAAGAGAGAATGGCAATATATCCTCGACCAATCGAAAATTGTAGCTAAATTACGTGAATCGGTAAGTGATATCGAAGAATTTTTTGACATACCTCAATCTGAAACATTATCCAATACTTCCACAGATATACCTATATTTAATGTTCCAGAAATTGTTACACCTTCTGAACCAGAAAAAAAGATAACAAAACCATTAGCCACTGATCATATTGAAAAAGGTAAGAAATCACCAGTTACTAAAACGACCCAGGACCTCTTCGATTATATAATAAAGAAAAATTCAATTGTTTCATCATCCAAGTTTACCGATATATCTCTGTCCCTGAGATTGAATATGTGGAATCATCAGATGACAAACCTAAATTACCTGAGATTATTGAAATAGTGGATAATGATCCTGATTTATCGGTGAATGATGAGCCTGAATTATCCCTTGACAAACCTAAAATCAGTAACGAAAAAATGCTCACCCAGATATCATATCTGCCAGGATATCAAACCAGGAAGCAACGAGAGATACGTCTTCGTAAAAAAGCTATTGAGCTTGGCAAAGATCCAGATAAATTCGTTACCGTAACTGAAAAAGATAAGCTTGACTCCATAGCATTCTGTGATAGAATGCAGACTAACGCAAGAATGTGTGGTTATGCAAAAGAGACAGAAGAAGATCCCGGTGAATATATGAACATAACAGTACAAGAAATATTAATAAGTGAAGAGATAATTTGCCGTTCTCTTGAGGAAGATGGAATCACCTCATCATAGCTTGACACCGATGAGGAATAGAAAAAAACGGTTAACATACTCCAGGAAAATAGTATGTTATGGTAAGATTACTATATATACTAAGGAGTGAATAGATGAGTTTTGTAGGTAGGATCCTCGATATAGAAAGAATTTTTTGATCCTACAACTAGACGATATAAAAATTTAGATCAAAAAAATATTATAAAATACTTGTAAAGAGGATTTTTGAGTCACTCAAAATTGCTTATGTATATGAATTTGGAGACAACAATATACTAGTTCTTGTGCCTAATTCGATATTAATAGAAGTAAATTCTCCCAGCATGATTTGCACAATAGCCAGTATAAGATGAGGTGGGTTTCTCACATATTTTATATAACTCTTTCGAAGCTTTTTTTACTTGTATCCGCCAATGCAGACTACACCCAGAAAGCTGAGTACAAATTTTTCTACAAAATGTACCATCCCTCTTAACATATTGGCAAATAATACATTCCATTCAGAATATTTTAGGATATAATATATATAAACTCTTCACTTTTAATATCAATTATGAAAAAATCAATTTAAAGTTTCGACATGATTATTTAGTATTCTAGAATACATTTATCCTTTCGTAATATATACTATATTAAAAAATGAAGGACCAAGATTTTGATATCCCAGAAGAAGTTCTCAACTTATCCACAGGTTGTTGGATCAAAAAGAATGGAAAGTTATTCCAAAAATTGTTGCGTGAAGGTTATAAATATACTAAAGACCTTTCACATTATTTAGATGATGTTCTGCTAATAGATCTAAATGAATATGGTACAATCTATCTCTTAGCTAACTTCTTTTATTCTGCTTTGATCCTGTTTCTTTCTACTTTAGCGAAAATGAGAGATATATGTAAAAGATACCCTATTTCTGTAAGTACTGCTGTGGAAGGAGGAATGTGTCTATTTGCTATAGAAAAAAATAGATGAACTGCGTTACATAATCTGATTCAGATAGGATACCCTGGATATAACTTATCTCAATTATTAGAAATATGCTAGAATCATAGAGAAACTCAGGAATGGAGAAATAATATACTTGCAAAATTCCTCTATCACCAAATTTAACTCTATCAAAATATAAACCAAATGCTTTGTATGATGCATTCAGTAAAGCAGATGCTCTAGGTCCAGAACATATACTTGCTATAGCGAGAACACTGCAATAAAAAATAAAAATGAATCATAAATCTTAATATAGCCTGAGTCGCCACATAATTTTTTTTCGTTATATCCTATATCTTAGTAAATTTCAAATCAACATTCTGGTCTTGCTTATACAAGTACATAAACTCTTTTTTTCTGGGTATAGGAGGAAAAAGCGTAATTAATTTTGAATTGAAAAAAATAAGTAGGTTAATGTATAATCACATTCTACTTATCAATATAGATTATTTATATATCTATCATAGCAACTGTCCAAAAAACTAGAAAACCCAAAACTAATAGCTTTACCTCTATTTTGGATCAGGTCCTCAATAAATATAATCTATTGGCCGAATCAAACCTGCTTCAATTACGTGCTCATGCCGATGAGCTTAGTACTATGCTACCGGATTGGAAGCCTCGTAAAGATGTGAAAGAGGCTCTCTGTCAGCACTTATTCAAAGAAAATCAAATAGAAGCTCTGGTTTCGAAGAACAAAAAGAAAAGGCTTACTATCAAGGAAAGAGCTCAATATTGTGCAAAAATCAGAGATGTGTAGGATATTTACTTACATGCTTTAGACTTAGCCAAAACAAAAAATGATATTGATAGGGAGATTGTAGCATCCAGTTCCCATCTTTCGCAATTTTGTAAAGAGTTAGCAGAAGCTAGAATTGATCCCAAGCAAATTAATACATATGCCAAATTACCAAATATTACTCAAGCTTCTAACAAAATTCAGAAGAGAAAACTTGAACAGGGATTAATCAGTCAACCTAAAACACCTAAATACTTCTCTTTAGAAGAGGGGCTTAAAAAACTTCAGAGTATCCGTACCACTGAGACCCCCACTTTACAAAATCTTGCAGATGTGATCATGATGTTAAGCATGAGACCCGCTGAAGCAACTACTCTTCGCATTATCTATTATGAGCCTGATGAATCAAATTCTCTGGAATGGTATAATCCTGATTACTTTTGGTATTGTACTGGATATATTAAAAATAAAGAAGAAGTAAAAAACAATTCTGAACCTTGACTATTTCTATCCATGGAAAAGAATCCAGAACGTGCAAGAAAATTGCTTTTCTAGATCCAAAATGTGATAGCAATTGGAAAGTTGCGTGATTCTGTCTATAGTATTAATGGAAAACGCAGTACAGATATATTTAGTAAATTTTTAAAACCATATAGTATTACAGCTAAAAGATTAAGAAAAATCGAAAATAAACATGCTTCTAGAATTCATGGTGGTCAAAATTCAACTTCACAACATCTCGCTTTCCTCAGTAGGATTGCAATAAGGTATAAGATAGATCATCATGATTTTGGAATGTATTATGCTGAGGGTGATACTTCAGATTCTAACCTTGACTCGGATCCAGAGCCTGAACCTAAAACCCTAGCTCCCACACCCAAGACAATTAATGAGAATACTTCTAAAATTGAGAATATCTATGACTTATATGGGAGTATCTAGATTAGTTTATGGCTTATCTATTTATTATAAAAAACAGTTCGCTATTATTGCTATTTTTAAATTACTAATTTGTAAATTGTTCACGATTGCCAGTAGATCAATCAATCCTTGGTTCATACTAAATAATTCGTGAATGAATTAATCACTGAATCTGAAATTAGTTTTTTAAAAAATCTGTAAATTAGGTTTTTTAGTCGTAAGAAATAAACTATATAAAAAAGCTAAGTATAAGTAATTTCATTGTTAAAAACTTATCTGGTATCTAAT